AAGTGCCGCGGGTCGGGCCGGGTCCTCCGCGGCTTTGCTCAGCGTCTCCCTGGTCTGCAGATCTGGAAGCGCCGCGGGTCCGGCCCCGGGTCCTCCGCCGCTTTGCTCAGCGTCTCCCTGGTCTGCAGCGGCTGAATCTGGATGCCAGTTCTGACTTACATACAGATTCAACTTAAGAACAAACCTACAGTCCCTATCTTGTACGTAACCCGGGGACTGCCTGTATTGTCTATGCTGATTTTAGATATTTTTATATATCTTGAATCACCAACAATGTTCTTGTTGTTTTAGTATTTTATTGTCATGCCAAAATGTCTTTATGACTATAGCCATGTACTTAAGCTTCAGGGGTGGCATAGTTAGTCTGTACAGGTACTAGTTGATGTTAAGACTAGGGATGTTAAAAATCATGTATTTATGTAAATATATAACCACTGAAAATTTTAGCGGTTACATGTTTACATGAAGGATGGCAGGTGGATGCCAGTGCTCCTTGGGAGCTGGCTTTTAAGCTGGTCCCCCACCTCCTCAAGCACCGACTCCTGTGCACCCGTGCTGCTGCCACCAATACATAGACAGCAGCACATGGGGTGGGGGAACGCAGCTCCAGGAACCAGCATGTGTAGGGGATCTGCTTCTCCCCCTGCCCCCGAGTACCTGTCCTGCCTGCTCTATCCCCTACACACACACTTTGCTGCCTCTATGGGTGGCAGCAAAGGGGGCGGAGGTGACTCTTAAAGCTGGCTTAAAACCCAGCACCAGCTCCCCACTCCACTCTCCCCTTTGCTGCCTCTGATACAGATGCATCAAGAGGAAGGGTGCGTTAAGGTTAACCCATAAGTCTGAGCTTATTGGTTAATGTGTAAATAGCTATACATTAACTTCCCTAATTAAGATGGCTATGAGGAAGTAATGGCTGTGTTGCTTTAGTAGAGAATGCATGCAGTATTAGTTTTAGAAGACTTGCAGAAATATTGCTTTCTCTAAATAAATGCCTTGTTTGAGCAGTAATAAACTTAAAAATAAAATGAATTCAACAGATTGTACATCAGACATCAGTTTAAAATTGGTCAAAATTATTAATTAATTTAAAAACTTTGACGGTGTCCCTTTTTAAAACTTGTTAATGTCTTTGTAATTAAAATTAACATTTTCAGGTGGTGATTTTTAAATTTTGTACATGTATTTGGGTGGTGGTTTTGTATTGAACATACAGAGTGGTTACCATCTATCCCTCCAAAAAAACATATTTATTGTTGTCACAAAATATGTGAGCAGTTTATTATACTAAAGGATAAATTAAAAACCAGTTAAACTATCTAGGTTTTAACTGAAGTTATAGCAATACATTGTGCAAATCTGACTAATATAATTTTCCAAGATGCTTTGGACTTGAATGTTAAGACTGTACTTCTAAGGTGAAACTCTGACTTCACTGAATTCCATGGGAGTTTTGCCATTGATTTCAATGGGGCCAAAAGTTCAGTCATAATTTTTCTTTTTCATAATGTCCCTGGCATATTTATCAAACAGAGCTTAAACTGAAATACGTAATATTCAATAACAAAGCTCTGACAATAAATTTAAGTAGAAAAATCTTAGTCAATATTGCTATTGCGCATTATAAAACAGACAAATGAAGAATAATTTACCACTCCACGGTACTGACACTTGACATGCACAAGTCGATTTCTTTTTTAAAAGGTGAAATAAATAAAAATTGTTGATGTTATAGCTAAGGTGCATCTCCTATAGTAGTCTCAGGAGTTCTTGTTTATGTAACTGAGATGTCTCAACACATATGGAAAATATGGCTAATTGTGAAAATATATTAATATGTTCTGTCGGTGTGCATTCTATTTTCTTAATAAAACATGATAAAGAGAACGTGTTTATGAATAATCTCAGAGAATTTAATATCTGGACTTTTAAAGAATGAATATAGTAATGCTAAAAATCAGTGTAATAGTCTACACATAGCTATTCTTTCTGTGTTCTTACCTTGATCTGAAATGATTTAAGCGTAAATGGAAATTGGGCAACATTTCTGCTGGCTTTTTGGCCAGTAAAAGAAAAAGATGGAATAGTTTGCAAGGGGGGGAAAAAAGAGGTGGCCTGTGATTATTTTGACAAGACTGTACGCTTAGTTTACATGAAGAGTAAGCAAGCCCCCAAATGTGTGGCTGTTTTTTTTCTCCCAAATTATCTTTTATCCTTCTGGAAGAAGCTTCCTTCAGGTTGTGGTGTTTGGAAATATAACTGTAGGCATAACAAAAAGCGAACTGCTGCACCAAACACTGATTTGTGCCACAGAACTATCTACATTTTGCCTGCTGTTATGTCACATCATTTATCGTTTCATCTGACAACTGGCCCAGTGGATTAGGAACATACTTTTGATTTTAAAAAAAAAAGTCTTAGAGTTAGTCATGTTAGTCTGTAACTTTAAAAACGAGTAGTGCTATGGCACCTTAGAGACTAACACAAATATATAGGATCATGAGCTTTCATGGTTAAAACCCAGACTCATGAACCTATATACTTTCGTTACTCTCTAAGGTGCCACAAGACTTACCCTTTTGATAGTCTGCAAATCTGGGAGTTGTGATGTTGGATTTTTGAATGAATAAAATATTCATCTTTGCTTTTCATGGAATTTGTATTGATGACATTTGTGCTGAGGTTCTGTGAACTATAGTATGGCTAAAGCTAAAGAATATACAAAATGTAAAATATTAAGGTAGTGTTAAAATTCTAATGTTAAAGACATGAAAGCAAACCCTTTCCAAATAGAGCTTTCCTGTCATCTCAAAGGTACAATGACGCTGAGTTCTGCTAGTCATAGATGGCATTACATAAATGTAGTAAAAATAAAATGTGTGGATCCAATGGACCATGCCAAAGATTAGAGGTGAATGCCTGGCCACTTTGAAATCCATAGGGAAACAAATTTCACAGATAACCAAAGCTTAGTGTGCTTTATGGCAAAGATTAGGAATTAGAAAGCTAAAACGTTTTCCTTTTACATCGTTTCAGACTGAGAGTTTAATTTAAAATAGAGATGCATATCTAACAGATATAATGTGTTTCTGCAGAAATACCCAAAAAGTACCTAAAATTGAGCTATGTCCTCGGTACATATTATATTTGTTACCAACTCTAGCAGTGACATTTACAAAAACATGTATGTTTTCTGATAAAAGAGAAGTTACAGAAATGAAACTGATAATACAATAATTTGAGCATCCTTAAAATAATTCATATTTATAAATTAAAGAATATATCGAGGAACCAATTTGGGGAAAGATAGGAATTTTCCATCATTTTAAAATGTAATTCCCCACATTTAAATAATTTTCATGACCTATAATTCCCTTTATACACCAATAAGACCCTGGTTTTCCAGTAGTCATTTTAGGTTTTTTTTTTTCCCAAACTTGATTAAGGATCTTTCTGCAATTACATTTGGGACTTAGAGGTTATTCAAGTGTTTTGAATCTTTAAGGTGGAAAATGTTATCTGTATTTAATTCTTGAAAATTCTGCCTGTCAATTCACCTAGGATGTTTATATATAAATATAAATATTATTTTGGTCAGGCATGTAAAATATCATTAGTCCTATCGTGGTAAAGGTGAGAGAAGATTGGGTGCATAGGTTGTTACGTTTTCTTCAAAATGCTTTTATTTATTTTCTACACGTGTTCAGGTGTTTTTCTTTGGCTGCTGAGTTCTAGCAGATCCATCCAGCTTTGGCAATTTTTAATATAATGGCAAATCTTATTTATTTTCTGCCCCTCAAATGTATCTGTTTACAAAGGGACCAGACTCAGGGCTATTGGAAGGTTTAGCAAGATTGGGTTGATTTGTTTCTGAAGGGCAACTTAAGTTTCTTTTTATATAGAGAGTATGAAAATAGCCTTTAATGCTCCATTCCCCTGAGGTCTAATGATTTTCATGTTGATTTGCATTTTGAAGTTTATCTTCACCAGGAAAAAGGCTGAAATCTTTTAATCTATGCCAAATTAGATTTTTTTTTAACATTTCTACGTTACCCCATATTATCAGGTTCTACAGTGGCACACTTGTTGGGGTGTAAAAGCCATTTCCACAAACAAATAGCAATAAGTTCTCCCTACTCCTGTAATCTTATCTTCAATTTAGAGAGGATTATTTTAGATAAGGCCCTCATTACTGTTTGAGTTTATCTCTTCTTTAGACTTTCCCCCCCAGAATTTCTACAGAGTTATGGAAGTAATATCTATGAAATTGGGCATGGTGTTCCAGGTGGGCCTGTTCATGGACTTTTATAGTGGTATTGTTTTGTTTGTTTTGCTTTATGTTTATTTACAACTTGAGATTTACCCTGCAATTCCTTTGACCTTTTGTGCTTTAATTGAACAAATTGTGTCCATTTTCATATTAGTGCTAACTTTGAAACTTTCCTTTCATTGCCAGTACATTCCAGTACTCCATCCTGCATGTTATTGCTTTGCATTACAGTTTTTAAGCAATCTATCTCGACTCTTCAGTTTGCTCATTAGTTGTTTTATAGTTCACTCTCTTAATGTACTTCTTCTTGAAAATTACCCTTATGCTTAAAACATTAATGATATTTTGAATATAAGAGACTTCATCAAAATGCTCCATTAAGCGGGAACAGCTCTGGATTAG